TTCTTATAAAGATAATATTAAGCATGTGCCATATATTAGCAAAAACTTTAATCTAAGCTAAGTTCGAAGTATGTTTCAACAAGAGAGATGAAGGCATTGGGTCTGTTTGTTTGTCCCTTCTTCACTGCCAGGTGTAACTCCGATGCCTCTTATTACCCACAAGTTGGGATTTTCAGGATAACCCATTTTTGTATTTTTTTCTATTTGAAGTTTTTATCATAAAAGCTTTTGCAGTATGACGGATAATGTTTGGACCAGTTTACGTACATTTTAATTAATCTTTTGAGATTTTAGAATTATCAATTGTACAAAAACTCTAACAACCACCCTATTAGTAATCGATTTAAAAGGGATTGTCGATTTTCAAGAGAGTTTGAGTTTTTTTTTATTTCTTGTTTAAAAAGTAAATCGGTTATGTGAATCCATATTTCTTCACTTAAATGATGTTCAAATTGGGTTATGTGATAGCGATTGAATGAAATTTTCATCAACAATTTGAAGAATGATTATTGGCTTTTTGTGAGTCAAATTGAGGCATATGGGTTGTATATGAATCTGAGAATAATGAAATATTCCAGTGAATATACTTTACTTTGATTTCTTGATCATCTTCTGAAACACACTAATATTTCATCTATCCAATGCTAATATGATCTTCCTCATTTAAATATTGTTGACTACTTATTATACTCAACCAAGTTTTATCAAGTAATGAAGATTGGGCGGCCATTTTTTGGATTATCTAAATACACATGTGTTGTTTTGTACTGTAAACCGTAAAGAACTTACGTTTGAGGTCATCAGTTTTGTTTATTTAAGTATCATGTCGTATAAATTCCCCCTTATTTTTTTTTTTTTTTTTTTTTTTTTAATTATTATTTCGAGATATAACAACATATTGCAATTGTTTTTTGTAATGACCCCACTCATACAATTAAGCAAGTCTCTTATAATTAGAACTAGCTTAAGATAAATGAATTGAGTAGATGATTGTTTAGAGTAATCAAAGTATATAGGATAGTAATCATCATTGGATGACCTTATAGTAAAATAGTAAAAAGAGGTTTTATGATCTTCTGAGTTTAACACTGTTGTGCGGTTAATCTGAAAAAGATAATTCCTCATTAGGAGAGAAGATATTTAGATTTGTTTAATTTGGAAGGAAAATATTAAGATTGATTTAAATTCCAACTAAGGTAGCCGAAGATCATGCAACTTTCTAATCATACGTATTTAAATCTTACCTCAACTCTATCATATAAATTGGTGCTATTTAAAGCCATCACAACTTGTTTTCGAGGGCTAGACAATTGTTCTAAGCAAATTTTTCTAAGAATTATACTGTTCTTTGTAAGCTCTCAAAAATAATAAGATAACAGTGGATATAAACTCAAGTTTCAACTTGTCGAATTACTTTAAAAATCTCTCTACTATTTACTTTATTGTATTTATTATTCATCCACTGCTAGTTATTCGTAATTACACGCACATCCATTCCAGTTCTGACATGGTCAATCAGAATTCTCTGATTGATACAGATTTTTGTATCAATAGATACTAATAAAGGTGATTAGTTGAGATACATATAAACTGACCTGTACACTCCAATGATAAAAAAAAAAAAAAAAATGAAAGTATATAGGATTTTGATGTTTAAATCAAAAATCAAAATGAATCTCTTGCCAATTTTGTATTTTTAGTTTTAAATGTTGTGGCCCAGCTAGATTGAGAGTCTTGTTTAGTCTTTTAGCAGACTGATCCTCAAGGTGAGCCAGCCCAACAATGGTTTGGTTCCAACTAGGTGAACCAAATTTAATTTGGATCACCACTGGATCAGGTGGGTCCGATTAAGTCACGTGAATGAAACATATGACAGACAGATCGGATCCATTTTACAAATCTTGTCTTCCACGTCTCAAGAGTAAAGTCTTCATGTTTTAATATTATAAATCTCAACTTTTGAATCTCATTTCTCTTAAGGGTGCGTTTGGTTGAGAGGGCATTCCACGTTATTCTAATAATATCATATTATATTATTTACGTTATTTTGTTTAATTGTCGAGTAATATAAAATTATAATAATCTTAATCATTGTCGATTATATAAATGATAATCTAATTATTATCAAGTATTTTGAGATTACTTGATAATTTTATTATTGTTATAATTTTATTATTGTTATAATTTTATCTCTTATTAATAATTTTTTTAAAACATTAATATCCTTAGGTCCATTTGTTTTGTTATTTTGGATATGATTTTGGGAATAATATTAAGTAGTTGAATAGGGAAGTATTACGAGGTAAAATTTAAAAATTAACAAAAAAAAACCCCTAGGTTTGCTAATTTAACTAAACACCTCAATATATAAAATTTTTGTAAAATGACAAAAACACCCCCACCCATCCACAATGCCAAATTCTGACCACCACCGTCGGAATTTGGCTGGCGTTATGACGCAAATTGGTCGAATCTGGCGGGTAGGGCGTTGATATGGCAAGGCCAGATCTGGCCGTCAACGGTCGCAAAAGTCCAGACCTGACCGTCACTAACGGTCATATCTACTGTGGATTTGGCCCAAAAAATGCCAGATCGGTGAATTACAAGCCAGTTTCAGTCATTTGTAGGCCCTTGTGATAGATTCTGGCTACCACCGATGGTGGTTGCCGAAATCTGGCAAGTATGGGTGGGTGGGGGTGTTTTTGTTAATTTTTAAACTTTTTTCTGGGGGTATTTAATGAAATTAATAAAGTTTAGGGGTCTAAAAGTAATTAAAATATATACTAATATTTCTCAAATAACAAAACAAATAAGTATTTTGGGAATAGGATTAGGAATATGAATAGAAATAATAAGCAAAGCCTTTGTTATCTAAATAATTTACAAGAATCTTCATGGACAATTTTAACCTTATCTACAAAATTTTTAAGATATTACTACTCTTATACTTCAACCAAATTACTTAAGACCACAACCAGATCAGCCCACCATTGTCGGCTGCCAGCCACCACCACCAGCAGTTGGCGGCTGGCCAGATCCTATTTGAAGAGTATGCTATTCTTACCAAGTTCCAGAGATTTCATATCCTATTTGAAATATTTTCTATTATAATCTTAAAAACATATTCATTGAAAGGAAGAAATTTAAGTACCTATAGTGTTTCAAATTGCAAAGCAAGAATATAACTACAACTAAATTTTTCTTCAAAGAAGAGGAAATTATTACAACTAAAATCTTAAAATGGGATAAATTTAGAATTGGGGTCAAGAAAAATAAAAAGTGGGTGCCAATAGGCATTACTCTTTCTCTTTAAATATGAATACACTATACATTTCGTCATCTAATGTACTTTTAATCACCTAGATTTATTTATGTAAATTCCCATTACTTTTCTTGTTGCTTGAACCATAACCAGAAGTCCATAATCTGAGAATTTTGGTCCAACTACGGCACTCATGGCTGCCAATAAGTTTTTAGTATTATTTCATTAATCAATGGTCACCTACACGGACCACCATCTTCTGATAATTAACTACATGATATGGACCAAAAGAAAAATCGATTTCCAGCCATATACACTCCTCCCTTCTGTTGTCATTTTCTTCGCATGATATTTTCAGCACACTATTACAGAGTCACAAAATTAAAAGAAAACTCAAAGCATTAATTTCTTGCCAACCATTCAGTCCATGTTTTGGATGAAGAGTCTAAAGTCCTTCACGTTTTACACTGCATGTAAACATAAAATGACAAGAACATTGCTATTTGGAAATGGTAGCTAGCTATAGCTTGACTGTGAATATGAATGGTTAAACCTGATACACATCTGGGATATCCTTTAAGCTGCTGTCTGCTAGTCAAAAAACACATCCTGGCAAATAGATAGTTCAACAGGAATATTTTTCATTTTTCTTCTGTAAAAGTGGTAAACAGAATTAAAGTTATAAAGAGATAAGTTGAAGTTCCCTAATATTCACGCCAAGGCCAAGCCATACCTCAACCTCATATTCAAATAGATTCCCTCTCTTTTCAGTTTTCTCATCAAAACATGGACCATCTCCCACTTCTAATTCCAGAAGAGAATCAAGAAACATGACAAACAAAAGAAAATAGTAGGCCCTCAGGCTCCTCAAAAGCACCGCTCTTATAAAAGAGTATCACCTTATTGTCTATGTGTTGTCCCGTCTTCCTATTCTTTTTATTTCATTTTTTACTACTACTTACTTCAGTCTTAATTTCCCTTTTTTAATGGCTCCACCACTCTCTCCTTTTTTTGACCAACCCCAATTTCCCAGGTTTAATTTCTGCTATACCATAAGTCTACAAAGCTGGTGAATAGGCCAGCTTTGCCTATGTATTCTCCGAGAAAATTCCTATATGTATATATATTTTCCTTCTCACTTTTGACTTTTCATCATACTAAGTTGGAATTTAGTTTGTTAATTACACAAAAAATAAAGAAAGATCTTGAATTTGATACTTATATGTTTTTGAGACTATTGCAAGCAATAATAGATTAAGATCAAAAGAACTTAACTACCTATGGATGGTCAAGTGGTCCAATAAGAACTTTTGAATGTATTACTCAAGAGTTCCTGAATTTGAATCACTCTTCAGTTGCTAATAAAGGTAGCCACTAGAGCTTTTATCCGACCGATAATTTTAAGATCTCAGAGATTAGTTAAGATACATGTAAACTAGCCTGGACATTACCGGTTATCCAAAAAAAAAGACAAAAGATAAGAAGAACTTGGGGCATGTGATGATGAGTTTAGATTATAATTATTAAGGGTTTCGTAAAATGTAGGGCTACAGATAGGCCATGTGCATGGCTCATGCACGTATATGAATTAATTGAATGGTCTTCTAGGAAGGGACGAATTTTGATTTGATACCCTCTCTACAGTCAACTTGTTTTGAACAAGCATTAATATTTTCCACAAATTAACTCTCTGCCTATTCCTCATTTCAATGAGAAAACCCAATCCTTTCTTTTTATCTCTTTCTTCAGAGCTCTATTTTGCCCTTTACCCCTTTTATTTATTCATCAATAAATACTCCTTATAACCTTGCCAAACTGCCTTTCTTTCCGTTTCTTACTATCCCTCTCTTTCAAAAAAAGAAGACCCATTTCTTCTTCTTCTTCTTCACTTGGAACCCTCTTGCAAGCTCAAAAATGTCGAGTAGAGCGAGTAAGCGTGTGAGTTTCAGCCCTGATGTCAATGATAAACCAACGGTCTTTCTCAAACATGGAGGCAGTACAAGATCAGCCGGAAACAGGAGGCGAGTCATAGTTGGAATTTTCAGTTTTAGAGTACCCAGAAGTTCAAGATTTTCACCGGCAAGCTTACTCAGGCGTCTTGGTGCTAGAGTGGCGAGAGCTCTTCGTTTTGTGTCTACCCCAAAGAGGTCTTCACGTAAAGTTTCTTCATCCACTTTGCAAAGATCAAGGTCATTAGCAGACTCAATCGACTCTCATAGAGCTGAAGCTATAGAAGATTGCATCGAGTTCTTGAATACTTCGTCCTCCATGTCAAGATCAAACTCAGTTTCTGCAAGTTCTTGCTAGAACTTCTGCAGTGAATAGATAAACATGTAAGGGAAACGAACAGAGAGTATGATTTTAAGAAGTTTCTATTAGATGCCCTGTAAGTTTGACGCAGTAACAATCAGTGACCATAGCTCCATTGAAGCAACAGTTAACAAGGTTTCTTTTGGACAAGTTTGACCTGATCCAATTGAACCGCATCAAGCTCAAGTACAGAAAGAGGATCTCATAAGGTTGGTAAATTCTTATTTCAGTTGCAGAGGTCAAATAGCTTTCTGCATATTCTTTGAGAAAATTTTGCATGGTTTTGAAATTGTAAGAAAGGACCCAAATGGCTCATTGATTGTAAGAAGTTTTACTTAGATACAGGACAAGTAGCAGTAAACACGTTTTCTGATGCAATAATATTATACTTACAAATAAATCTTACAAAGATTTCCCACTATTACAAATATTTCCGTATAAAGTGGGATGTCAAAAAATGAATAGAAGAGTAAAACAAAAAATTAAACTCATTAAATCTATTATTCCATTCAATTTTTGTCACATCACTTTGTATAAAGATCTTTGTAAAATTTATTTATAAGTGTAGTATTACGATTTCTCTTTATTATGATTGCAATTATAGAACAAACTGTTAATTTTATGATAAGATGCTGTGCAGCTCTATTCATGCTTCATGCTTGTGCCAAGAGATGACTGCTTAGACATACTGTACGCCATGCTTTATATTTTCTTGAATCCTAAATGATGATACTAGGAGTCTATAGTATTATTAAAATAAAAAACTTCATGAACGTATAATGTTTTAACTGGATCACAACTCAGAGACACGGACATTAAAGAGGTGGGGCTGGGGCTGCCCAATTGTCGGCCTATCATACATAATATTCAAAGGAACCATCGCTACCAGCCTACCAGGACCATAAATGAAAACTCAAACGTTCAACGGTACATCCCAACTTGCTTAATAATACATCAAAACAGTCATAAGTCGATCACAAATCCTGTAACTCTAGCTAAAATAATGTTATGCATCTAATTTGATTAAATTCTAAATCCTATCAAGTTTATCTACTAGCTATATAATGAAATAGAAATATCTTTATGCTGACAATTTAGGGGACAGATAAACAATTATGGGTAGGAAAAGATTTTTTTTTTTTTTTTTTTTTTTTTTGTTTATACAACAAGAAAGGTATATAGTTTGCATCAAATAATTTTGGCGGTCCACATAATAACACAAATCTAACTGTTTCAAAATTTTCTGGCCCATAAATGAAAAAAGCAACAGTAAAAGGCATTATCAAGAATCCAAGGAAAGCTTTTCAAGCTCTCGGATACCTTGACTGGAAGCCTTTTTCATTTCAAGAGCTCTCTTATAAGGAGGGGCAATTGGGGGTTGTACAGGGTCCAAGCTCTGGTAGGTTCCTTCAGCAACTTTCGGCAGCGGATACGAACGGTCAGAATCATAGCCACTAAGGTCCCCGCAGGCTAAGAATGGGATGTACACCTTATTCGGCCCTTCCAACCCCCCACTACTGCAATCTGCCATGTGATAAGCACAAATTATATAACATTACCACTACATGAAACAAGAAAATTCGAGAAAGTAGGCTTTGCATAAAACTGAACATTCCATAATCGAAGAGTGCGGGTACTTTCTCATTATACAAAGTTTGACAATGAGAAAAGTACATTTTTTCTATTAGGCAAGGATGAATCGATAATCATACAAGAATCAACAGGAGTTATTCTGTATGAAATTAAACTAAACTAAGGCCAACAAAATAAATGAAATTACAAAATTGGTTGACGTGCAAACATATGGTGATACACGCAGAGGAACTCAAATTTCAACACTCCAAAAGTCTATGCTTTCATCATATGTATTTTTTTCTTGGACAACAATATATTTCCGCGGCACAATTTCAACATATAACAAAATCAACATATCTCAACTTAAACTTTCTTTAAGTCAATATTCTCAACTGGAATTTAAATCTGAAGCAAGTTTCAAGTTCTTAATTAATGATTCTCTAAAAGAACATAAATTTCAAACACAACATAAAAGCTTGAGGACTTTCTTCTCGGACAGAGATTGGATATAAATTCATGTCTTATATCTACATCTCAGCAGATAATGTGTCAAAAATTATTTCTTGAAAAATTGCATGCGCATGCCTATCAATACAATAAACTTCAGAACCTGAGTATAAAACAATGTTGTAAATACACTTACCTTGATCATCTCCTCCCCAGGGGCTTCCCACCTTTTCCAAAAGACGGTGCAGGTCTTTTGGGTTAAATCCTTCAGGAGGGGAATAATTTTCACAAACAGCAAATGCCTCTGCATGAAAGACAATTCAAGTTTAAGCTTTGAGTACAACAAACTGGGATCAAATCACTTTCTCCACACAGGCTACCACACTAAAAAACTGACAGAAATGATGGTACATTAGGGTAAACTTACCTATGCTGGAATTGCGACTGCTTTTTGGTTTTGCAAAGGTCACGACAGGAAAAAATAATTTCAACTGAAACATGAAACACAAATCAATAACTGCATTTGATGCCATCATGTTTATTTCAGAACTAATAAAGTTAAACAAAACAAAACCACAGCTAAAAACATATATATTCAGGTCTTTAGATTACATCGAAAGCTCATCAGCTGAAAGCACAAATAATTCTTTTTATGAATCAAGAACTTAAAAACTAAAGATATATATATATATATATATATAAATGAACTGCTATTATGTGAACAATCCATGACATGTGCATAATGTTAGACTTAAGTAATGTAATACCAATATTGATTCCGTGTGGTTATGGAGTAAGAAGATATATCACTACACAGTTATGCTAGAAACATTGAATCAGTAATGTAGGGAGTTGAACTAGAATGAGGAATAGTCCTAAACTGGAGTTTCAAAAAGTATACTTTCACCTGACAGTATAGGAGACTTGTATCTTTTCCACGAAATATCTTTGAAATAAATTTACCACCTTCTTTAAGTACATGGGTAACAATTGTTAAACCCTGCATAAAAGGCGGGCCAGCCCATATCAATCAAAAGTGAATTACAACAAAAGTTCACAAAGTAAATCCCTGTACACTTACAGCTAGTATGAGTTGGGATTGAACAAATTCATCCATGTCATGAAGGCCAGTGACTGCAAAATATCATTGAATACAGCACGCTTAAGAACATATGTAATGGCTCTGAAAGCAGTAATGGGTTGGTCCAGATAAAAGGTAGCCACAACAAAATAAAGCCATTTTACCATCAGGAGCACCATCGCACACAACCAAGTCAGCTTTGCAGCCGTCAAAATGTCTAATAACCTGTAAAAAGAAACGGCATAATAATAATCTTGAGTAGCTAAAATCATTTGGAACAAACATCAGACCTAAATGTTTACGTAGTTTCAACTGAAAGCTGTATCACAAGAAAGAAGCAATAAATGATGATAATCCTTACCACTTCAGCTGTTCGCGCATTAGTTATATCACCCTGCACTTGAATAACACCTTCAATTGGAGCCATAGGTTGCAAATCGATGGCCACAATGAGAGGAAGATCATTATCCCTACAATTTACAGTAAATGAAGTTATGTCTTGACCGGCAGGTAGTATGTATTTTGAAGAATATCAGATATTTAAATATTTTTCATAGTAGTATAACATGCATAGAATTCTGCACCATTGTCAAAGTGCCGATAACCCTAAGTAAAAAGAGTGTAGCTGATATATGGAAACTTCGTATCAAACGCTTATAGTATAGATTTTTCCTGGAACCTCTTGGATATTCCATTAGTGAGGGTTCTCAAATGAGGAATTGTGAAATGCAAATATCACCCTCTGAAGTTTCACATGACTAAAGAGGATCTATCTTGAAAAGTTACAAAAATTTATCAAAACAGAGGAAAGGACTAAGAATAGAGTATATCTTTGAAAATTTCAAAATGCATCCAACTCAAAATTTTTTCAGAAATTCACACATACAAACGCAAGAGTGAGAAAAATATGCAAACACCTAAGATTGTTATTTCATAAAGCCATAACACATTTCATTGAATTACATAATGTGCGTTTATTCAACTTCCATTCTGTATTAGGCAAAGAATCAATCTCAACATGAAACTTGCTCCCAAACCTGGAAAGGAAATTTCACAAGACGAGAATTACCTTGAATCAGGCGAAAACTTTGCTGGGAGATATAATTTACGACTCAAAACCTACACATGAGAAGTGAACATGACTTAGTCAATTTCAAACAACAAGACCACAAGACATGCAGTGTTTGTCGTGGCTTACATTGAAGGTAAGGGAGAAGCAATAGCTAATAAACCATGTCAATGTTGAATAATTCAAATATAAAAAAATCAAACATCAACTATTGAGAGATACGCATGTATGCATGCTATTCGACACCTATATGTGAAGCAATGTATAAGCCAATATGATAATCATTCAAAACAGTCGTACCTGACTCCAGCTACCAGGGGCAGCACATAAATCTACCACACGTTTCACTCCTGCAAATGACATTGTTTTTAAACTGAAGGTGAACACTTTACAACTCATAATTTAATATCTTTTCAGAAGGTTGCGTTTAGTAAAAATAGATATTAAGCAAAGACATAGAAATTATCAAACTTCCATCCATTTAGATATAATCTTCTCCATAGAGATAACAGAAAGGAATCAACTAGAAGTAGAGAGAGCACAGAGAGGATCTACCTTCAAATATATTGAATTCTTCATCTATCTGAAGGAGCTTAAAAGCACTTCTAGCCCGCCAACCTTCTTCTTTTGCTTTTCGATAATAGATATCCTGCAAACCAACCAGTTTATTAGTAAAAGTTCCAAAGTGAAAAATCCAGAGAAAAGCATGATATTAAATTCCAAAAGGAATGAAAATCTACCCTCTTGTCCCTCGAAGCCTTGCCCATGTTTTAAGCTCCTGGTGTAAAAGAAAACTCCTAAAACCAGAGTCAAACGCAAATAGCTCATAATTTATATAAATAAACGAAGCAAGAGTAAAAATTTCCTACTTGTTTATAAGTATCAGAACCAGTTGAAAATAATTCTTTCGACAACCAATTCTCTTTTTTTGTTACAACTGAGCATTCATTCTGACTTCAGTCAACAACTATATATTTTCATTTATATACTCGATTAAATCCCTATTTTTGATACTTCCTATAACGGATGCTTAATAAAACAAGTTCTTTTCAGTCTTTTCTTCGAACAGCTCGAATGCATATTACTGAATCACTGTCTAACTACTTAAATTTCAACAAAGACAGAGAATACCAAATCAGATACACATGGGAAACCTAAATATACAATGCGTCTAAAAAAAATCTTAATAATTTCACTCACAAGGCAGCTTGAGGAAAAAAAAAAGGCAAGAAGAGATTTAATTAGAAATTGTGGGAGATTCAGTTGGGTTGTAATACATACTTCTAAAAGTTCTCTTCCTTCTTTGGAGCAGTAAAGTTCTTCGAAAACACAGAAAGCAAGCCTCGCATATAAGCGAAGACGGCGACGGTTGTTGCAAGTTACAAAAACAACCAAAAATGATCACTTGTAATGATAATCAGAAACACGGTAGTTTGAATAAATAACCACTTTCGCTATTCTGAAAAAATAACCACATAAACGGTCATTTGGATAAATAACCACTTTCACTCGTAACGGGAAATTACCATTTCGCTTGTTTAGTATAACCATTAACCAGTAACCTCTTTAAAAATTATAATCAGGGATCAGGATTGAAGATTATATTAACATATTCAATTGGACAAGGCTATAGAACTATATAAATATCTTCTGTGACGACGATCATTATTGTTCATATTATTTGTTTCATCACCGTTGTCACCTGCCATTAATGTAGAGAAACAGCCACGGCCACCGGCTCGGAAGTGTTCAGGGATATTATAATATTATTGAAATTTAGGTCATGCCGTAAAGAACTTCTGCATCCTGTTTTATTGTTTTTTCATTTAATTTTTTTATAATACTTTTGACTTTTGAGAATTAAAATTAGAAATACCATCACTCCAAAGTCCAACGCTGGTTTTTTTTTTTTTTTCCTTCATCCTCCTATAGTATCGAGTCTCATATTCAGCAAGATAAAAAAAGGATGCTACAGAAGTTAACACCTCCAAATTACAGCAATGTCAAAATGTATCTGGAATCTAATCTAAAATGGTTAATCAACATGATAAAAAATGCCAGGGAAAAAAATATAAAAAAAGTCCAACATCACATAACAAGGCAAGAGTTTTGGGGCCAGTGATCTCTGGTCATACTATGAAGAATACACAATTGTCATCAATGAAATGCCTCATAATACAACTGGCCCTGCCCTCCTTCCCCAACCCCTTCCACACGTTTGAGTTCTGTCATGGCTGAAACCAAAATGCCCAACAAACTAGCTCTTTAGCTTGCACTGGCAGCTGGGACTGCTGCTGGCTTTGCATCCTCAGCCTTTTCATGTTCTTTGTTCAGCATCTGAAAAACCAATTAGCAAATCAGAAAACAATCCTAGTCATGAACATAGTCATACAATCAGGGTAACTATCAGTATCAAGAGAGAACTCTGACCTTGTTATTGATCAAGTTGTGCAGTGCAATGACACTGCGGATGAGTGATGAAAGATATATGACCAACATCATATCATTTGTTTTTACTACACAAGAGGAAATATATATGTCCATTATCAGGGGCTGAAAGATTGACCAGTTTAAATTGCAAGAAACCAAGCATTTCTGACAAATTTTGGCTTGTATTACCTGCAAAGGCCTTAATTAATTCATTCACATTGAGGTTCGGTAGCAGATTGAACACATCCTGCAATTTGGACGTACAAGAAAGCATGAGATACACATAAAAATAAAAAAGAATAATTTAGACTTGAAGACACAAGTGGGATAAAAATATATAAAAAAGAAAAGTGCACCTGTAAATGGTAAAGTATCTCGTGATTCAATGGAAGCTTCTCATCAATAACAAGATCAAGGTAACCACGGATCTCTCTTAGTCGTGCATCCAGACCTTTAAGGGCTGTAAGTTTTCCAGTGACCTGTACAGGACAATATAATCATATTCCTTGTTTTCTTTGAATATACCTCCAACTTCTATAAATGACGGCTAATATTATCAAGTTCATTTTGAGTTTGACAAAAAGAGATGGCCGAAACTCAACATAAGAAACTTCAGGGGTAAAAAAAAATGATTAATAATATAGAAACCTCAGTTGCTAGAGTACTGATGGTGGTATCCTTCACATCCCTCAGCAAGTGTTCCACTCCTGTTGACAGGTGATATTAGAACATTATTGTTGCAGAAAATTAGAAAATAAATCAATCACAGAATCAACTGCAAATTATCATAATGGCAAAAAGTAATGAGGTCTTTTATCTAAAGGCATACCGATTTCCTCAACTTCATGAGCTGCAATTTCTGAAGGCACATGTACAAAAACCTTCTGGCTTTTCTGAGTAGCATTCTGTAAGATGATACAGTATCAGTATAGTTACTGAATGAGAAAATTAAGGTGGCTTGTTCGGAAAAAACAACAGCATAATTATTCTGTGAGTCTTCTTTTCTAACATCATAACAACCATTACCAACAGTTAAGATGGGCATTATCAGTCACTTTACGTATCTGAACAACTATTAACAGCAACCAGAATAAATCAATAGTATGGTTCTACCTCTTTAACCTCTTCAACATCATAGTAGGCCTTGGTGGGTATTCCCAGCTCCTTTGGCTGGACATCAATGATAACCAATACAGGATTTGGAACATAGCTACAACATCCAATACAGGTTGATAAAGACAATATGCTCCACTGGAAAAAGTGAACTTGATAAACATATATACATATATAAACTCACTTGTGGAATAATTGATGAATATCGAGATCATTCTCCCGTAGCTTCGGGCCTGTACTATACCACCCTACAACATGCTCCTTGGCTGAAACAAATATCATAAATTTATACATGCTGATAAGTAAAAACCAAGAAATTTTTTGAGACAAAGTTACAAAAAAAGATTACCATTAATTCTTTTGAACATTGAAAACATGGCTTCATGGTAGTTGTGGTCAAGAAACCATATGCTAGAGTCCTTGTCATCTTCCTCAAAAGGCACTGAAATTAACAAATTCCAACATTCAGATAGAACAATAAATATTTATCTAACATAGGGAAAAAAACTTCATTTACAAACTATTTAGGGTAAATGGAAAGTTTTATCAAAAACACTGATACAGCAGCAGACCAGATTACATCTACAAGACGTACGGAAAAGGAGTGAATGAAGATAAAGAATATATACATTAATGGCCCATAGCCAATCCCAGATAGACAGATAGAACTGGCAGAAACACTGGTTCACAACACAAGTTCACAAAAGGGAGGACCATCAACATCTCAAAGCATTTATTAGTGAAAAGTACTCTTGAGATTTACAAGCATAACTCTTGTGCCCAGGTAAAGTAATGAACTTCTTGGCAAAATCTCCCACCACATAATTTAATACAAGTTTAGTAGAAAACAGGAATAACCTAATTGCCAAAATGCATCACATAAAAAGGAATAGCCTTATTGCCAAAATAAAATGCAAACGTAAACTAAACCAAAAACCAACCGCTAGCGAATATTTCTAGGAAATTCTTTCCAAAACAAGTAAGAAAGGAAACACAGTAAACTTCACAAAACTGTACTTCCAATCTATAAGCATAATTACACCAATGTAGGCAACACAACCAAATTATTTAACCAGAACACTGCAACATACCATAACATCAACCAAATTCATGCCAATTTTCTATTTTTTCTAAACAACTTCAAAACATTCACTAAATGAAACTCGTTTTCCAATCTCAAAGTTACCAATACAACTGAAAATATAAAACCCTAACTTTAAAGTTCCTATAAAATTAACTAAATTTTGTGAGCAATTAAACCCTAAAATTGATAGATCTAAATGCGAATTGAAAAGAAATATATTCAAATAGAAAAGAAAAAAAAAGACCTGCGTAGCTGTTGGAGACATCGACGGTGCCTTTGTAGGAGCTACCGAGGAGGACACCTACAACACGCCTGCGAGTGTCCTTAGCAACACGGTTATAGTTGTCTACTATACTCAGTAACACCAGGGGGTGCACGATCACCTTCTCTATTGGTCTCGCTGATATTTGCTGCGTCTTTATCACGTCCATCCTCAACTCTCTCTCTCTCTCTCTCTCTCTCTCTCTCTCTCTTTTTCTCCCTGCTAAAACCCCTGGTTTCCCTCAGTTTCTTCTAGCTTGCTGCTTCTTGTTTGGGTCACTGTGTCTGTTCTATTGTACTTGCCCACTTACTTAAGCAAGCTCCCACGTAGACCGGAAATAAAAAACGCTGATTGAACTGACGTTTCTAGACAAGGAGACCTTTTGTAACTGGTGGTTACAACTTACAATAGCGCCTTGTTTGTGGCCTTAGGACCCAGGGAAAACGGCCCGGCCCAAATTGTTTTCATTTCTTCTTTCTTGAAAATTATGTATAAAGTTCATTTATGAGTTTTTTGTTTTTATTTTTACAAAACCGAGAATTTATAAGCAAGGAAGGCGACATCAAATTTCTAGTAAAAAATTTAATTTTAATTTTTTATGTTCTCTCCTCTTTTATAAAATAAAAAGTACATTTCAAATTAATATATTTTTTTATTACAAAAATAAAAAAATTAACATATTTAAGACAAAATATAAGTGATAATTTGAAGGACTTTTATCTGTTTATCTGTCGTGTATGTGATAAATTTTATTTTTTATTATTTTTTTATATTAAAACAACTACACCAAATGTATTTTTCTTTTCACATTTTATATTATTATTTTCGGACTGTATTTTCTAATTATTTTCAAAAAACAAAAGAACAATTCACAAAATTCATAAAACAACAAATCCTGTTATTGTTTATAACAAATCTAAGCTCAGAAGACAATAACATTAAGCATTATCAACTATCCTGGGTGACTAAGTAGTCAAATAGAGACATATCTTACTCAAGAGGTCTTGAGCTCGATTTTTCTCGATTGTTAATAGGGATGACTATTAGAAATTTACTTAATCGTTAACTTCAAAGTCTTAAAAATTAGTTAATGTGTATTTTTCTCGATTACTAATAGGGATGACTACTAGAAGTTTACCTAACCGTTAACTTCAGAGTCTTGGGAATTAGTTAAGGTGCGCGTAAATTGTCTTAAACATCCCGGTCACATCAAAACAAAAATTAAAAATCATGATGAAAAAGGCTCTTCTTCTTCAACCTCAGGCGCTTCCGGTTCTTTAGAGTTTAGTCGACTCTTTATAATCATAACAAAGTGCTATAATAATAGAGCAAGATTAACCACAGTCATTGCGGCCAACGTCCAGTAATACTAATCCAAACGACTCTTGTTAACTACCAATTTGGTTTCCCTCCCCGTTCACTAATTATACCCACAACGTAAACACACAGGGCACCGCCCATTGTTCCTAATCCATATATACCAATTCCAATATGAGCCAAGTAATTGTCCATTGTGGAAGGAAACTAATCAATAAGAAATCTAGAAAAACTAATTGAAGAAATTCCGTCAAAGCCTCCTAGAAGTATAAATTGCAGAGCCAACCAAAACAAGCTCATCGGGATTTTATCATCAGGCTTGTCAATGAGACCATGGCTCCTAATCATATCCAATCTTCGAGTCTCCACTTTTGCTGCCGTAATACAGCATAATATCCCAATAACCATTGATATTGCAGTTCGAATTGGAGGAGCATACTGTTTTTTTTTTTCTTTGCTTAACGAGTTTGCAAAATCGATGTACTTTGTACGCGAGAAGATATTGCCTATGTGATGGAAGAACATGAGTATCGTGAAAGGGACACTCAGAAAACCCACTTTACGGTTCAGGTGGTCTGCTTGCGCGAGAAAAAAAGTGAATTCCAGAGGTTTTATTTCTCCCAAGAAAATGAAGGTCATGCTGGCACATTGGGATGATTCGTGAAAGAGATTTTCTTTCTTCCACTTCTGTGACTCTGCAAAGTCTCCATCTGTTTCTTTCCTGCTCCTCTAGAGTTTTATAACGTAATAATGTAATATTATTGCAGCCTTGTTTAGACCGTGTCTGTCTGGCCGAGCTTATGAAAATAAGCTTATAAGCAGTTTGTGCTTATTGTTGGAGTTGTCGACTATTTTAACATTAATTGATTACGCAGACGTATTCGGGGTTCCTGTTGACTAGTCAGCGAGTAGGGGCCCCGCTCCTCGATTAGCGGGCGAGGGTCGTGGGGGCAATGCCCGCGCACTCATAGGCGGTTTGGGCATTTTCTATGTGTAACCGCTGTAGGATTTCTTTAGCTCATTAATTCTTTATTGGATTTGGACTTAGGAATAAAAATCATTGTAAAACTAGGTTTTGTCACTTTAAACCTAATATATAAATATATTTTTCTCTTGTTATGAGAGTGATAGCAATCATAAGACAATTCATTCATTATAAACAAGAGAGGTGAGAAAGTATTGTAATACTATTGACTCGGTTGGACCGTAACCTATATTGGGTGAACTAGTGTAAATTGTGCGTGTTATTTTCTCTTTGTTTACTATCTGTGATTTGTTTTACTGTTATTTTATTCTCGTTGTTGTCTCTATTTCGTTCACTTATAAGGTAATTTGAGCTTATAAACATATAAAATTTAAGCAATTACGTGTTTGGTTAAAGTACTTATAAGTAACTGATAAGTAGTTAATGCGTTTAGTAAAATGTGCTTTATAAAGCTTATAAGTGCATTAAAAATGGTACGATATTATTTTATCAAATAATAAATAAAATTATATGATGGAATTTTAAAATTAAATAGAGATAACATGGTAATATAGTTAGTCAAAGTAGCTTATACGTATTCTATTTATAAGAAAAAAAAAAAAAAAAAAAAAGGTATCCCCCAGCTTATTATTATTATTATTATTTTTTATAAACTTGAAAAAATTACAAACAAATTTAGTGTTTATAATATGGTTTGAATTAGTTTATAAGCTTAGACAAATACCGTTTGGAAAGCTCTCACGCCTCTTTCAAATCTAAGTCAATTGAGAGAGAGTTTGGCCGCGAGTATGCGGCAACTTATGGAGATCATTTTCACTCCTCTCATAGAGCTCAGTGACTTGCCTTGGGCATCTATGAAACATTTTGGAAGCAGAGGTCACAGAGACCCTAAAAATAGACGTGAAACTCCCTGTGGTCTCACATGCTCATAAGAACGTGAATCAGTCAAGAACGTTATTGTTGCTACCACAAACATATTGCTGGAATCCCAAACCTGATTGACCAAGGTTGTATCAAAGGAATTGTTGAACCTCCAGTTACAGGCATTAGAGATGTTACAGTAAACCTGATTGACCAAGTTTTTACTAAATTATATATTAGTTTAAGTGTAAAGATTTTTTTTCCTTTGTTTATCCAATTAATTAAAAATATTGATTTTCTATATTAATTAATAAAAATAAAAAACATTATAAATTTAGTAGATTGTAGAATAATAGTGGTAGGATATTGATGAAATTATAAATAAATAAATATTAAGATCATTTAACTTTAAATAATTGCATATTATTACTCCTAACTTTTTAGGTGGGGATTAACTATTTTTTCTTTTTTGACTTTTTAGCTAAATAAAAAGTTTATAAAGTTAAATATTTTTAAAGGTATTTTTGTCTTTTAGTAAAATATTAACGGAAAATATAATAGAACCTAATAAATTGTGAGAAAGTATTATTTTAAAACTTGAAAGGTGAGAAAGGGTCATTTTGCTAAACCTTGGGTGGGAAAATATCGTTCTCCCTTTGATCATGTGATTAAGTGTCTTTGGTGGTTGCCTGCAAGTGTTTGTTTGATTGCAATGGTGAATTATGTAATAAATAGCTCTTATACTTTTGGGAAAGAAAAAAATAAAATAATAATAATAATAATTCTAACTCTACAGTGGGCTTAAGCCCAAATACAATTAACACCCCCAATTAATTCTATTATGATATATGTTAATATTCAGTTACGAGAGAAAATCTAGAATACAATGTAAGAATGATGGTATTGCTGACTATCAAACGATACATAGAGCTACCGGCCTCCCCTAAGATTATGGGGCAATTATCAGATACCCCCCCTAAGGTATCAGTTTTCACAACTGCCTCCTACACGTATCTGGAAGCCTCAAAAACCTTCCCTTGAACACGATTTCTTAACCGTAAAAGGTGACTGAACAACAGAAAAGTCAAGATTACCCATCTCTAAACATTAATGACTTGGTTCTTTTCATCAAAGCTCCAATTTTATATATATATAATTTTTTTTTTTTTTTTTTTTTTTTTCTAAACTACCTTACATAAATTGCTATTGTTACCCTTCGAGACCAACCGTAAAAAATTGTTTTGCTCTATATATTTTAAGCTTGAACCCACTTTTGTTTCGTTCTTGCTCACTTAGTAGTTGGAGAGAAACAATGGCGAAAGACGCTGAAGGGGCTGAGCAAGGAGAGTTCTCAGCAGAGGATTACCGAGACCCACCTCCAGCACCATTGATCGACATTAAATAGTCGACCAAATGGTCGTTTTATAGAGTTGTTATTGCTGAGTTCATTGTAACTCCTCTTTCTTTCCATTACACTCTTGACTGTGATTGGCCAAGAGCCAGACTGACGAGAACTTGTACACTGATCGCTGTGGTGGTGTTGGCGTTCTTTGTATTGCTTAGGCCTTTGGTATGGCATGATTTTCATTCTTGTTTACTGCACAGCTGGCATTTTGATGAGTTTAACTCTTAACTCAAAAATATCACAACGAGACCTTCTAAAAGAACGGAAAAGTTGAACCTCTGCGTTTGGTTGCCGAGAAAATGAATCTTATGGGCATCTCTATAGTTTGGTTTTCTGCGTTTTTTTCTTCTATTCTACTGTTGGAGTTCTGAGTTCCATTTTAGACTCAAATCAACTAATTGTTTATTGTTTTTTGACTCGTTAGAAAAGTACAAGAATCAAAATGAGGAGTTGTTACAAATCAGAGCTCAGCAACAACAGCAACATCTAGCATTATCATCAAAAGGCTCACCAGCCTCTTCAAATTCAGGCGCTTCCAGTTCTGCCGTCGCATCTTTATAAGCATACCAAATTGCCACAAGAATAAATACAACAAGATTGACTGCAGTCATTGCGGCCAATGTCCAGTAATACTTATCCAAACGAGTCTTATTAAGTGTGTCTTGAAACCAACTCGGTTTCCCTCCCCGTTCACTAATTATACCCACAACATAAACAGACAACACACTTCCCATGGTTCCTAATCCGAATATTCCAAGAGCAATATGAGCCATGTAATTGCCCAGTGTGGCAGGAAACTGATCTGTCAGAAAGCGAGCAGCACTTGTTTGAGAAATTCCATCAAAACCTCCAAGAAGTACAAATTGTGGAAGCAACCAAAACATGGTCATGGGGATTTTATCATCAGGCCTATCAATCAAACCATGGCTCCTGATGACATCCAACCTTCGAATCTCCACTTTTGCTGCAGTGATTAAGCACAATATCCCAACAACCATTGATATTGCAATCCCAATGGCAGGAGCATACCGTCTTCCTCCTTCGCCTAACCAGTTTGCAAACTGGACGTATAAGTTCACCAAGCATTTTTTGCTCATGTCATAGAACCACAAGAGTATTGCAATTGGGACACTCAGATGACCAACTTTGCGATTCAGGTGATCTGCTTGCGCAAGAAAATAACTGAAACCTACAGAAGATAAAACTCCCAATAAAATGAAGGTCAAACATATTGGAATGATTCGTAAAAGGGATTTTGTTTCTTCCACTTCTGTGACGCTGCAAAGTCTCCATCTGTTTCTTTCTTGTTCCTCCAGAGTTTGATCAGCTAATATAATTGCAGCCTTGTCTAGGCACCTGCAAAATGGAAATTGCTTGTCTTACAAAGAGTTCAATCTTTTCTCTTCTAAATGTTGCAATCGAAAGAGTGTGTAATTGAGTCCAAACCTGAGGCCACGAGTAGGCGGCGCCTTGTATAATTCTTGGTCTCTCTCATAGAGCTCAGTGGCATCCTTCGGGCACCTATGAAATATTTTGGAAGCAGAGGCCACAAAGACCCTGAAGACAGATGTGAAAGAACTCCCTTCTGGTCTCACATATCTGTAAGAACATGTGCCAGTCAAGAAAATTAGTGTTGCTACCACAGTACAAATTGCTGGAATCCCAAACCTGATTGACCAAGGGTGTATCAAAGGAATTGCTATTGCTCCTGTTACAGGCACTAGGATCGCTCCAAAGAAGCTCAGAAAAAACATCACCAACGCACCTCGACTGACGTTGTGTTCTCCTGATGCTGTAATCTGTTCCCCCATGAACCCTCCTATTGAGGTTATGTGACCTGACATTCCGTAGGCTGTTAGAGCTAAAGCCGTGTAAAAGAGAATTTTCTGTCCCTCGCCAATGCATTCCAGCTTGTATTCACTGCAGGTGCCCATTGCCTCAGACATTACAGGTGGTGTTGACATTGCCAAAAAGCTCAAACCCTGATAAATATAAATTGTGTGACATTTTCTGATTAAATATAAAATAAAAAACATAGATGTTCTCTCAATCTTCTAAAAAGCTGGGGGAAGTTTCATAAGAAAGAAATAGAGGCAAATAGAAAATAAAATCACTATTAGTCTGCATTATTCTCAATTACATTCTTTAAGAATTGGTGCAAAGGAGGAACTTACTGCGCTATAAGCAAAACTGGAGAGCAAGAGCATCCAATAGTTGCCGATGATAGTATCAACAAGAAATTGTAAGGCCAATGGCATGATAAGGACGATGCCCCAAAAGAAATTAACAATGACAGCAGCGTGCGTGAAACCAATCTTCCATACATTTGTTAAGTATGTCATCATCATCCATATAGCAAACGCAGCAAGAAAATCAGCCCACATGAGAACTGCCAATATTTTAAAATACAAACAACAAATTGAGAAAGAAGGTAAGGATTACAGCAAGTTATTTATCTACAGGAAACTGAATTAGGATTTTAGACTGTTACCTGTGATTCTTATAAAGGAGGATAACATTTTCAAGTGACTGCAGCACTTTTAATCTCTTTCTGCAAAAGAAAAAAGAGTTTAGTATGTAGGACCAGGTAAGCTAAAGAAATAGTTTTAAACTTTAACTATTAGTTCCAATAATGTAAAGGGAAATGGACAAAGGGCTTACCAAATTAAGAGGGAAATTAGATGTTGAGTTGCAAGAATAGAGTAATGACTGTACTATTTTGGAAGCTCAAAGTACGAAGTGTTCAATATTTTAAGAGAAAAGAGACCATGAAGAGAAAAAAGGGGCAGTGATTGTAGAAGATTTTGGGGCATTTCACCCAAATTTATTAAATGAAGGATGTTGGTAAAGAACTAAAGATTCGAAGAAATATCACAAAGTGTGACATCCCTTTTTTTTTTTTTTTTTTTTTTTTTTTTTTTTTGTCAATGACCTGTCGATGTTATATATATATATATATATCATGGCTCCACGTTCCCAAGTCTGTTACAGTTGGCGCCAGATCATACGACATACATTAAGTTATTATGAGATACTTGCTTGATTATCAAGAGACAGCTCTTAGACAACATTGTTTTGTTTATGTATTGTCCCCAAATACATTAAATTTAAATAAATTCTTTTATTTCTAGGTCGGTCTATACATCCCATATTGATATATCATGTAAATTGGATATTAGACACAATTTTTCGCTGGTTCTAATTAATGACATATTTTAAAGTATATGTGCTGAATAATATTATTGTAAATTTATTAATTTGGAGTAGATCAAAACGATTCATTCCTTCGGCTATAGCCATCGTGTACTAGATTAATAAAAGAACAATGAAAATGGAAAGGTCGTTACCGTTCACCTCCTTTTTTAAGTCTCGTGTATATATCTCTTCATCCAATAAGAAGTTTAAGCCATTAAACTAATCAGATATGAGATCATCCGTTGAGTTTCGAAGGAATAATTAAACAAACAAGTGGGTATTTAATTTGACCAAACCCAAACAAGCTGAAGCTATGGTTAGACACAACTTGCTGATTTTTTATTCGTTGACTTGATTAATCAAATATGTTATGCCTAAAGAATGTAAGGCTGACGTAAGGTCTAGTCAGCATGCAAAAGTCAGAACCTGGGTACACCCGCAGCTGAATCACGAGAGGAAAGGGGTAGCGTGCTTCTGTCAGTGCACTGGGTGCGCGCCAGACCAGCCAAGAGCTGGTGAGCTTCCACATGTCCAATTCCTGCACCAAATCACGTAAATCACTCTAGAAGGTGGGCAATGGGACATAAAGGAAGATTTGTACGGATAATCCCACCAACTCACAGATTTAGTAATCATAACCTTAATCCATCCCACTATAAATTGAGGGTTCCTCTCTCAATTTGGGGATTAGCTAATCTCTTCAAAAAACAGCATATACGCTCTCTCTCTCTCTCACTCTCTCTTGTAATCATTTGTAAAAGTCAGCTCACGGAACGCGACCTGACCGCTATCATTAATACAACATCAGTGGACATAGGACTTGCTTCCTTAAGCATCCGAACCACTTTAAATACTGTCTAGTCATTTCATTTACTCTCATTCTTTCATTCAACGTGTGTCTTCTGGGTCAGCTCAGCATTTCACACGTACGTTTGGTTGGTGTCAAAATCACGTATCAATAGTTTGGCGCTAGAAGGAGGGTCTGATTTAGTATGCGTCCTTCATCAAGAGAATCTCTAACTTACTGGTCTTACAACAACAAATGGCTCACCGACTTGAACCTGAGCGGACCAACCAGGGTGCTGAGGAGATCCCCCAAATTCAGGAGGACACCTCTCCCGAGGTACCTTCGATCCCGCTGAATGCCGTGGGAGATATCCCGTCAAGTTCACAACTTGACTCTACCGTCATGAGTTACCTGGACAGGTTCAACAATATTCTCCAAACGGTCAAGCAGAGGTTGGACCGTTTGGACCAAGGTGTGCCACCCAAATCAAATGAGGCGGTGCAACCGCCAAAAATGCCTGCAGGTCACGCGAAAGCATGGCAAAGGGCGATAGCCCATGCTGCGAGCACTGTAGCGCACCGAAGGAAGGGTAAGCAAGTGGCAAAAAATGGGCCTAAGGGCTCTAAAGGGCCAGCGAACACCGACCACGCCCCGAGTAGAATACCCATGGCGTTAAGACTTGGTGAAAGGGTACAGCCCGAATCGTCCCATGTCTCGTCGCATGAAAACCCCTATAAAAGTACTAGGCGGGGCGATTCTCATCACCGCCAGAGAAATAATCCTGATCTTAGTTGTGCGGCAGGTTCCCACACTCCACGGGGCGGTTCGTACCATCGTGGAGGTCGTGAAAATTTCCCGCACCAGTTATCGGCATCACACGACTCTAGCCAGCGTGTGTTGAGAGCAGCCAGGACTGCCGGTCGAGGCGAAGAAGAATCCAACCTCCGGACTTTTCTTAATCGTAACTGCAAGGGTCGAACTCGCATGGGTGAAAGCAATCCCCAGATAGCTCCGTTGCCCCAGATTGAGGAGCTGCAGTGAGCTCTAGACCAGCTAAAAGCTCAACATAATAAGTAAGGGCAGGTCACATCAGCGTCTCCGTTTTCTCCGGTAGTGTTAATCACCCCACTCCCATCAAGATTTAGAATGCCCGACATGCAGGCGTTCGATGGAAATTTCGATTCGCAAGATCATTTGTATGAATTCAACAACCTGATGAAGCTTCAATAGGTTTCAGATTTGGCTAAGTGTCGTTGTTTGGTAGTGACCCTAACCGCTCATGCCAAACGATAGTTCAGGTCATTCCCAGCGGGATCGATCAGTTCGTGGCCTCAGATGAGCACGACATTCCTAAGGCACTTCCAAGCAAACCGAAAATTCTCAATGCCTTTGAGCTACCTCAGCAATATAAGGCAAGAAAGGGATGGATCCCTCCAATCGTACATAGATCGATTCCACAGAGAACTTAATAAGGTAGCTCACACTCCCGAAGAGTCTGTTCGGACCCTCATCATAGCAGGAGTTCATCCACAGACCGATCTGTGGAAAGAGCTACAGGCTGAGGATGATGTTTCCCTCACCCGCTTTTATAACCTTGCAGAGAAGTATCTCCGTATTAAAAATTTTGTGGCAACGCTCCACCGCCGCTACCTCGACGCTTCAGGTAGTGCGCCTGGTCAGGAGGAAAGCAGGAGAGTTGATCGCAGATGGGCTGCTGACGATTAACGGAAAGGAAAGAAACCGTCCTATGAGCCTAAGAAGTCTTACGCCCCAGTTCCTCATCGCGATCGCGACAAAAACCAGCATACTCCTTTGAATGTGTTTGTATCGGCTATTCTCGACAAGTCGGAAGAAGCCAGCCTGCTCGGAGAGCCCGAGCCCATGAAAAATCCCCCATCAACTAGAAATAGTAAAAAATACTGTCGCTTTCATCAGGATAATGGGTATCACATCGATGAGTGCCGAGCTCTCAAGCAGGCGATCGAAGACCTCATTAAGCAGGGTCATTTCAAGGAATATATTGATGACTCCACTCCCGTGCAAGAGAAAAATCAAGGGGAACCGGGGAAAAAGCGTCGTGATCACAAAGGGGTATGCAGCCTCAACTTGATCTTTGTAACGGCTCCATTCTTATAAAATCATGCATAGTAAAAGTACATGTAACAATAATATAAAAAGTTGGGCCCAAAATTTTTCTTTTATTAAACATATGCATTCTTTATACAAATATATACAAGATTTGTGACATATGCAAAACTATCAAAATAAGGTAGACAATGTAGCCATTTCTATTCGTGTGCCGATGTCCATCCGACTGTGTCCTCATCTAGAACCTACAAAAACATAGGGAACAACTGGATGAGCACAAACAAGGCTCAGTAAGTAAACCCCTGAACTCCAATGTCTCCGTAACTCTTTCTTTAATAAAACTATATAATTCTCTTTCTCATAATTCCTCTATGCTAACTTTCTTTCTAGTAAGTCACGGCCCCATCTGACTGGAGGCACGGCTGGGACTCGCTCCCACTCCTGTGGCTTCTACTCATTCTAGCCGATCGGACTTGGTTATGCATGGATTCGGAACCTTTGGCCATGTGAGTGCATAAAATCTCTCGGGTAAACTCGGGTATAGCCCTCATCCGCATGTACACTACGGGCTACACCACTTCTCTTTCTGATACTCTGGCCGCTTTCTTGATGCGGCGTACATGCGGGAATACTCTACCCGTACTCACAGGTTCCTCATCGCACAACCTACTCTATTCTCTTATTAAGCACTACTCTAGCTTTACTCCATAGTGCTCATTCTCTCTTTCTTTCTACTCTTAGAGTAGTCTAAACTCAAAAGTCTCTACTCTTTCTCTACTCTCTTTTCTAATGCATAATTAAAGCATAGTTAATGCACATCAATGACTCATACTCATTAATGCATTTATGAAAAGTAACTATGACATGTAGCAATAATTAAGGCTTTCTACCCTTACTTATGATTCTTTTGAGCATTTCATCATACAACTCAAGTGCATAAACAATTCTACTCTAACTCTAGCTTTTCTCTTTTCTTTAATCAACCAAATGGGAGAAAGCTCCCTTATAAACTCTAAATTCCCTGTCAAAAGAGAAACACTTCCATAAACTTGCTTAAAACTTCCTCCAACTTCTATCAAACTCAACCCAACATCAAGCAAATAAAACACTTCTCATAACTCAATCATAATTACTAATCTCAACCATTTAAAAGAATACACATATGTATATCAATCTACTCAAAAGAGTTCTTAAATCTCAACTTAGGTTGAGTTTACTTACCTTATCAGAATTTAGCTTCATTAACACTTCTCATTTCCTTTGGAAGCTTGCTTTTCATCTACAACTTAACCAACAATCACAACATGAGACTCTAATCAAAACATAATAAAACTCTCATCTAAAGCAAAAATCCTTACCTTAGGAAGCTTTAGATTAAAACCCTACTAAAAGTTACTCAAAAAGGCTCTTGGAAATCCTTGGAAGATTGAAGGAAATTTGAGAGAGTTTAGAAGAATGAAGGAGGCGGTGGAATGGGAAAATGAAGAGCTTCCAAAGACTAAACCGTTTTTAATATCTCTTAATAACTCTTTCTTCCCATTTTGCCTTGTTCTTTCATGGAAATTCCATCTATATCCTTTGATTCCTTACTAACACACCCCCATACTAACATATTCTCCTTGAAATTTCCTTACAATTAACTCCCCACTTTTCCTACTAATTAGGGGTAGAATGGTCAAATTGCCCTTAGGGAAGAGAATATCTAAAACTTAACAAACATTTTGGTCGGACTGTCGCCGCGGC